TCTGATGGGTTCAAAATAAAAGCCCTCTCCTTCAATTTAATCTCTTCTTCCAGCTCTTTACGTTTTTGCATCTGCTTACGCCTGTATCCATTATTCATATGAATCAAAACCCCTCTCATATAAGCTTTACTAGCATCCCAAACCATTGCCATTGAAGTGCCTTTATGCATATTCAAAGCAAAAAATTCTTTCAAATATTTTCTACATTTCTGCGAGAGCACCTCATATCTAAATAAATTTTCGTTCAATCTCCAAGATCTTCTATTCCCGTCTTCAGCAAATAACTCCAACCATACAGGGCTATGATCCGACAATGTTCTAGAAAAAATCTTAGCATTCTTGACCCTGGAGAAAAGATCAGTAGTAATTAAAAAAAAGTCAATTCTGGAGAATGATTGATGCCTATCCGAAAAAAAAGTAAAGTCTCTATCTTCCACATTCCGTTCTCACCAAATATCTCTAAATTCCAAATCATCTTTCAAATCAAAAAAAGCTTTAGGTAATTTGGAATAATTAGGAGAATTTTTGAAAGATCCCTTCTTGTCTTTACTTGAGTCCAAAATGCCATTCCAATCACCCATCATAATAACAGATTTATAATCCAATTCAATTAGTTTTTGATGTAAGAACTTATAAAACTTTTTTTGTTGTTGATTAGGGGCATATGATCCAATAATAAGAACTTTCTTGCCTTGTAGCACTAGTTCAATAATAACATATCTTCCTTGTATATCAGATTTGATTAATCTAGCCGATAAATCTCTTCTTACATAAATAACCACTCCCCCCTTTTTATCTGGGGCACAGGCAATAAAATGTGATCCCAACTGAGAACTAATCAAATACTTTTGATCTTTCGCCACAATATGAGTCTCCTGCAAGCAAACAATATCATTTTTATGTTGTTTCAAGTAGTGAAATACTTTCTTTCTTTTCTGTGGTGAATTCAGGCCATTAACATTCCATGTCAGTAGCTTTGCCATCCTTGGTGGCCTGGAGCCTCT